TCCTGGGTTCGTCTCCGAACGGAAGCTGAGGGGATTTTCGGTTTAGGGGAAAAGAAAATGAGGAAGAATACGGTAAGGATTTTCTGTTTATTTCTTTGATTGGTTGAGGAATAATATAGTTAAGTATTTTCGATTTGTTTCTGTGATTGGATGAGTATTTTCGATTTGTTTCTGTGATTGGATGGGGCTGGTTGGTTTGATTATAAATTGGTCCTTTATATACTAGTTTTTTCGTAAATAAAAGGAAGTGTGAGGATAAAATGGGAAGAACATGTCAATTTCATTAAATTAGAAGCGAGAAGCTCCCGCGGAAGTAAAGAAATGGGAGCTTCCGGGTTTTGCAAAGAAAGGCGAGAAGCTGAGCTTTTCAAAAGCTGCAGCAAGTTTTGGAAGCTGACCCGTTTGGTGCAGCTTGTGCTTTTCGAGCCAAAAAGCTCTTCTCACAATCTGCACCAAACAGGCTCTAGTCTCACAGAATAAGACAAGTGAATTCAAGTCAGATATCTTTACCCTAACCTTTGGATCCTAGTAGTTCACTTTAAACCTTTAAGTATTTGAGTTTGTTGATCAAAATTTCGAACCCCACAATACCTTGAAAATCTCATTTCTCTTTTTTCAAGTTGTATACTGTTCAAAAAAATTCAAGTTAGATATTTTGAGTTTAAAAACTTTAAGATTAAAAAAGAAAGAGATGAAAGGCAACCACATAGTTAATTGCTGTCATTAATTTTTGGGTGATGGTATCCATTGCTCAAAATTTTCTTAGATGCATTCATCTTTCACCATATTTTGAAATGAAATCCATGGGCTAAGAAAAACCAAGGCAACTGAGGCTATAAAAAGGAGGCCAATCTGCTGGGGTTTATGTTAAGAAGATTCCAGTTGTGATATTCCTACATTGTTATGGTTAAATGTTTAGAGTTATTATAATTAACGATTAAGATTGAGTTGTTAGAGTTATTATGGTTAATGATTAAAAATAAATTATTAGAGTTATTACGATTAATTATTAAAATTAGATTAAGTTGTTGTTATGGTTCCTATTTGTTAAGATGCTATTTACGCTTAGCTTAGGTATAGTTGTTATGTAAAGTTTGTTTAAAAGCTACTGTGATTTAGAATAATTGAAGTTCTTATTTCCATTATCTTCCTCTTTTGAATTGGGTGGGTCTTAAAATTGGTTTAAACATGTAGAGGGATAAGGTTTAAGTTGTGTATATGTGTGTGTGTTTGGGGAGTTAAGATAAACCAATGTCCATGAGCTGTTTTTCATCCCAAGGTAGATGAGGTGAAGGGTGTGCCATGGCAGCTGCTAGCTCATGGGATACTCTTGCTGCCAAAGCATGGTGGCGTGGGTTAGGAGTTTGCATGAGTTAGGAGAGATGAAATTACCTTGATATGTAAATGCATTTATGTTAATTATTGCTTTTCAAATTGTCTGTAGAAATTGTTACTCTTTCTTCTTTATATCATACTTTTTCAATTGTAATTTATATATTATACACAAGAATTACTTAAAATTATTTAGATAAAAATTAAGATCAACAAACAAATATGTATAAAGAATACTAAGATTATTTAAAAAAAACATGTATATTGTGAGAGATTTCACTCTAATATACCAAAATATATAAAATAAAATCAATTATAGTGGGCATCTAGATTAATATTTTAAAGATATTTTATAGTTGATATCTAATTAATAATTGTTATTCTTTAAAATTAAAAATACCGTTTGATTATGAACTGATCATCCTGATCCAGTGATATGAACTTGAGTTAGGTTCATTTATCTCTTATGAGTGATGTGTTCGAGTTCCACATATTCTTTCTTCCTTACTTCACTTAATACATATAAATAATTTCAATTTATTAAAAAAAATACCGTTTGAATACAATTACTCAAACTCCAAACCAAAACCCCCATAGTAAAATAATAAAAAAATTATAAGGATCAAACCTTGCCGCCGTTGCCGGGAAAAGAAAAGAAAAGAAAAGAAAAGAAAATTTTTCATTTTTTATCCCAATAAAAAGGTTAAATCCTTATTTTGGTCCCTCAATTATTGTATGAACCCTCAATTTAATCCCTTAACTCAAAAAATCCTTAATTTGATATCTACTGTTTACCATTTGAACCCCAACTTGGTCATTCCATTAAAATTCTTATGACGTATCCTATTAATTTACAGTTACATGATGAGATGTCAAATTTAATACATGTGGAAAGACAACATGACAAAAAAAATAATGACAAAAAAAATAATAATATTATAAAAAAACTTAAAAAATTCTTTTTTTTTTTTCCTTCTCCTTCCCTTTCTCTTTCCCCTTGAAACCCAACGGCTACTAGGTTCAATGGAACCCAACAATCGTCGCTGGATTCGATGGAACCCAACATGTCTCGATTCTTTCGAACCCAGGGGCAAAAATTAAAAAATAAATTTTTTTTTTTGTGAGTTTTGTTGTTTGATAATGATGAAGAATTAATTGGTGAAGATGAAGAATTGGTTGATGAAAAAGGCAAGGCAAGAAAGAGGAAGGAAAAAGAAAGGGCACTTGTTGGGTTCGATTGAACTCAAGTGTTGGGTTCTTTTGAACCTAGGGGCAAAAAAAAAATTTTTTATTTTTTATTTTTTTTGGGTTTTGTTGTTTGATGATGATGATAAACAACTTAGTAAGGGTAGAGATTGGTTGAGATGTTAGAGATTGATTAAGATGTTAGGATTTGCAGAAGAGGAAAGAGAAAGGGAAAGGGCAAAAGGAAAGGGAAAGGGCAAAAGGAAAGAGAAAGGGAAAGGGCAAAAGGAAAGAGAAAAGGAAAGGGCAAGAGGAAAGAGAGGAACAAAAAACAAAAAAAGGCTAAAAAAAGGATTTTTTTTTTTTTTTGAGGGATGAGTTGGAATGATCATGTTATTTATTTTTTCCAATCTGTCAATTTTTGTGTGAAAATTTTACATGTAATGTTTCTTCCATTAATTACTATGATAAAATTAATAGAAGGATGAAGTTGGGGTAAAATGATTAATAGTAAGATTAAATCATGGACTTTTTGAGTTAAGGGACTAAATCGAGGTCTATACAATAGTTGAGGGACCAAAGTGGGGTTTAATCAAATAAAAAAGGGGAAAACGAAAAACAAGTCGGCTCTTCCTGATTTATAAAAATTTTTTTTTTTTTTTTGAGTGAAAGTTTATAATATTTTTGGTAGAAGCTCTTTCTTTCGAGGGAAAAAAATCAGAAAAAATGGGAAGCGATAGGAAGTCGAAGGAGGAGAAGAAGAGCAAGAAGCGAGCAACAACTTATTCTTCTGCCTCCGAAGGTTCTTCTTGATTTAATTTTCTTCTGGCCTGTTTGTTTCTCCAGAAACCTAGGGAATCTATTGTTCACGTTTGTTTACTATTTCTTTGAATTCGAGTGGAAGACGAGAAACCCATCTGAATCACGTTAACCTGTTTCACCAAAATAAAGCTTCATTTTTTATAATTTCTCTGATGTTGCAATGATTGTTTTGTTTTGGGTCTATGGTTAAGTTGAAGGAATTGAACTTTGTTTTGCTTCCAATTCAAAGTCCTGCAGCTAAATTTTGGATTTTTACGTTAGGATTGTTTTCTTATTTTGATTATATATTTGCTTACTGTGAATTTACAGATGAAGGAAGAAGCAAAAGACGGAGAAGTGGAGAACGAGAGGAGAGGAAGAAAAGGAGTGACAAGAAAGAGGAAAAGAAGAATAAGAAATCTCATAAGCACCGCTCTGGTAAAGGTACTATAATTCTCTGTTCCTTGTTTCTATGTTATTGTTAAACTTGGTTTTGTTTGTTAAGTGGATCTAATGTTTATCAATTTCTCTTAATGAGCTTATTTTAGGTTTCTCAGATAAGTTCAATTTAATCAGTGTTCCTTTCTTCTTCTTCTTTTTTTCTTTTTCCAAAGATTGTTCAAAAGAAAAAATACCCCGTTTTTAGTTGATTACGAGGAAGGGGATAAGCTAGACTGATGAATTGGATCGTTTTTTCGAGCTTGAGTGAGTGATTACAAGTAAGAAGAACATAAAACAATCAGTAAGAAGAACATAAAACAATCAGTAAGAAGAACATAAAACAATCAGTTGGATTCCTTCCTCTTGGATTTTCTATTCTAGGGAGGGAGTAGCCAGCTTTTCCTTGAGTTTTGTCTGATTGGTATCTAGCATTTTCAGGATGCCTATAACTTGATACGGACCAAGTTGATATATACTTGAAAATTCACTAAATCTTAGTAATGGTCTTTTTTGATGACTAATGCTTGGAAAAGTGTTGAATTTTCGCAAGTTTCGTTGTATGAAACGATTATATCTTATAAGCATCCTTTTATTGTATCAGAGGAAAAATCAAAGGATAAGCACAAAAGTAAGCATCACAAAGGTGAAGACCATTTGGTGAGTACTCTTTCTACTGCATTCTGAAATTAGCATTGATTTATTTCATAATTTTAAACCCAGGTTCTTCTTGACTGCTGTCCCCTGTGTTAGATGCTTCTTAAATGCGTTAAAAATCCTAGAATTGTTTTCAAGGCATATAACTAGAATTTGGCTGAAGTCTGAATATCTTGATAATTTTGTTTTAGCATAAAAAAAATCTGACAGACCTCTCTGGTTGAGAGTTGTGTATGCGCTGGTAAGCATATCCAGAAGAAAAGGTAGAGAAATCTAAGGAAGTTTGGCATGTATGGAAGAAATTATGGTGATGCTAGCTATTATAAACACATTCCTTACCATCTTAATCGTTGCAACCTTTTAGATACCATGGAAACAACAGAATAAAAAATATGCCCCATTCTGTTGTGATGTGTAATGGTGCCAACATCAGAACTTTTCCCCCTTATGATGCTTAGAGTTCTGGTAAGCATTGTTTGAGAATACTTATTGGAGTATATGTATTCCATCTACTTACGACTGAAGTGCACGCACAGTCCTGTCATATATAATTAGAGCAGAAGAATCCTATATGTGCGTTTAACATGTTGAAAGAGGTTGCCAAGAATCAAGATGCAAGAAATTACAAACTTTGAACCTCTGAAGTTTCAGTGCATTGAGTTTCTTGTGTTTTGCCTTCTTATCCTATGAATATGATTGTTTTTGAGTGGGATGATATATGGCGATTATTTTAAACCCTGCATTTCTTGATGTTGTGTATTGTCATTCCTACAGAAAAATGGGTTCCAAAAGCTATCCAGTGATGACTATTTCTCTAAGAACAATGAGTTCGCTACCTGGCTAAAAGAAGAAAAGAACATGTTTTTCTCTGAGCTTTCATCCGAGTCTGCACGGGAACTGTTCTCGGTCTTTGTCAAAGACTGGAACAACCAGAGGCTAGAACTCCGATACTATGAAGGCATTGTTAGTGGACCACGATCTGCACATAACTGGAAAATCAAATAGTTACCTGGGGGGAAAATTGGAGAATCGACCAGCAGCTTGATCTATGATTGTTCTTTTTGCTTTTGTTGTCCTCTGTCTATGTTTATGCTGATTTTGGCAGTCTAAAAGATGTATTTTGTAATTTCATTGGATACATGCAACTAGTTTCTTGTTAGATAATGTTATCAGTTTTAGTTATGAGAATTACTCATGTCAGTCTTTTTGGATATGACATTTTTATTTACTCAACTCTCAGTTAGAGAGGAGATGATGGTAGTTATGATACAAGATAACTTTCACTTTTCCAAATATGACTTTTCATTTCATAATCTGACCTCATGAACCCGCATTTTCAGTTTAATAATACGTTATATTTTATTTAATAATATGTAAGGATTTCAAATTTATAATTTTATATGACATTGTATTTAGAATAATTAGAATATTTTTCATTTGGTAAAGAATGATGAGTTTAACTTTTATATGTATTTATCTACTTTTTTTTTTAGCTTAGCATTTAATTTTATGAATATTTTATAACTTAGTCCTACATAAATTTACATCAATCTCATTATTTTATAGCTGAAAATGAAAGAGTAAATTTGATAAAAATTAATTTTTCAACAAATTGTAGTTTGTACATATTATAATAATTCAGTGATAACTTTTTCTCTAAGTGTCTGATTGAGGTGATTTGTAAGGGCATTACAAAGTTAAGAAGCAGAGTTACAATTTATCTTTTAAGAGGTTAACTTAGTTCAATCAATTTCAAGACAGAATTCCAGTTGGAATGCGCAGCTTTGCACAGAAGAAGGCTGTGCAGATTGCGAGAAAAAAAAAAAAAAAAAGAACTGGACTGTGTTTTCAGGTGGTGGGCTGGCAGTATACTAGGCCCAAAAAGTTCACAAACCCTAATAGAACATGGGCCAGGAAAAAAATGGAAAAAAATGGAAAAAATTAGAAGGTTTATAATATATATACATGGTCGACGCCGCCGCCGCTGCGTCCTTTTTGGACAAACCTGCTGGAGGAGGAGGACGCCTTCCCCAGCCCTGTTTTGAAAAAAATCTAAGAAGACGACGCAGCAGCTCTGTTTTTCTTCTCTTCTCCGCCGGGTTTGCTTGGGAAATCTGCACAGCAGCACGCCATTGAGAAGAAGTTGCAGTTCGGCTTTGCTCTTCATTGGGACTAGTCTGTTTTCCCTCGTTTTTTTACTGTCACTCCGTCGAGACGAAAAACCCTGGCCGTTTCAACAACGCTCTGTCGGCGCTCAAGTATATTCCTATAATCTTATTGGAGACTTGTTGAAAGCTGAAAATGGCTGAAGAGGATGTAGAAGCCGTGGCTGAAGAAAAGGAAGAAATCAAGTCGTTTAAAGCTCTGGGTTTGTGCGACGAATTGGTAGAAGCATGCGAAAGTTTGGGATGGAAAACCCCAACAAAAATACAGATTGAAGCCATTCCCCATGCGCTCGAAGGTTGGTTCCCTTCAACGTAAGTCCTCCCTTCGTTTCACCTGAGAATTCAATTGATTGTTGACGGTTTTTGGGAAATTTGTATTGTAGGTAAAGACTTGATTGGACTTGCACAAACAGGTTCTGGCAAAACAGGAGCTTTTGCTCTTCCCATACTGCAATCACTTCTAGACTATCATTCTAAACAGGAACATAAATCTTCTCCGGTATTCTTTGCTTGTGTGCTCTCTCCGACAAGGTAACATCTGAACTTATAATTTGATCATAGAGCAGATGTTTGGATTATGTCAAAGGTTTCTTAACTCATTTTCTTTCTGTGGCTGCGGTAAACACACCTCAGGGAGCTTGCAATTCAAATTGCTGAGCAGTTTGAAGCTTTAGGATCTGGGATTGGCCTTAAGTGTGCTGTGGTAAGATAAAAGGCTTAGCTTTATTAATTTAGGTGGTTTTGTTGAAAACTGAATAAATTCTTATTTAAGCTTTTGATGCTAAGGCACTGGTATTGAAGGTCCATTGAATTTTGGTTGATTGAATTTTCTTGTGAAGCTTCAAAATATTTTTTCTTGATGCTATCATCTTTGTTTCTAACATTTTTTAATTTTGGAAGCTTGTTGGAGGTGTAGACATGATGCAGCAGCAAATTGCTCTTGGAAAGCGGCCACATATTATTGTAAGTTTATCTGCTGAGATTACTTTTTCTTCTCCCTTATCCAACCTGCCTTGTTATGGAAAAGATTTATCCTTGTTCTGTTTTTTTACTTCTACAATGCTTAGATTTAATAACTCTTTTTACTTGCAGGTTGGGACACCTGGACGTGTTGTTGATCATCTGTCCAATACAAAAGGTTTTTCACTTCGCATGTTGAAGTACATGGTAGGAGTTTCTTCTTTCTCTTCCTCTTTTGACCACCAAATTCAATAATCTGTGGCTGTTTAAAGAATGCATGTTTTTCCTCTTCTGTTACTGCTACAGTTTGTGAAACCTCCATATGGTTTCTCTCTTTCTTTTACTTTTGTTTTGATTTCCTTTTTGAGCTATTTTAGTAGCTTCTTGTAGCGTTACCTAGTAGAATAGGACAATGAACTGGATATTTTAGTTGTTTGCACTGTCTGCCTTCTCTTTTGCTTATGTAAATCCTTATCGGTATGCTATGAATTTACTAGATGTTTATTGGATTAACATGTTCTGTGGTTATTCTTATGCCATTTATTAAATTCTTTTTGTACCATTAAACTTCTGCGTTTTTATGGTAATGATGATATTGGATGAGTGTGCAACATGATAACAAATTTTCCTCAACCTAGAAAGTTACTAACGCTGCTGTTTTTGTTTTCTTTTTCTCTCTTTTTTTTCCCCCTTTTGCTTTGGTTTCTGATGCTGTATGTGAATGCATTTGGCAGGTATTAGATGAGGCAGACAGATTGCTAAATGAAGACTTTGAGAAATCACTCAATGAGATTTTGGATGCTATCCCGCGTGAGAGGCACACTTACTTATTTTCTGCAACCATGACCAAAAAGGTATAGATATAAAGTATTTAGAATGTATATTTAGACTGAAGGATGCCTTTCTATTGGTGCATGCTACTTTATGCTTGTATACTGGTAGTGCTCGGTCTTTTTACTCCAAAAGCAGTATCTAGTGCATATCGTTCTTTTTGTTTAGTGCATTTTACTGTGATATTTGTATTCTATTCATGATTTTCTAAATGAGCATAGTTATTCCCATCCAAAAATATCTCACCAGACTATGATAGAAAGCATTTCAGATTCGGCATATTCTAGTCTTTCTATGTTCTAGGTATATGTTTTCAGCCCCTTATGTTACTTCAGATTTTCTAAGTGGAATATAAGAAGGTATATTAAAGCGGATGAGGGCCACCTGATACTGAAATTTTTTTGAAAATGATATATATTTTGGGCATGGGGGAAAAAGGAAGGACTGTCAAGCACATAGAAAATATTGTAATCTTATCTAACTATATGGATATTCTAATTTGACTTGGAGAAAGTTTTAGTTTGACAACAATATTCTTTTACAGGTGCGAAAGCTGCAGAGGGCCTGTCTAAGGAATCCTGTGAAGGTTTGATGATAATATGTCTGCACATCATTGGCATTCTTTATATCATTTGCCTTTGGCACTAACATTTGTCAGTTTTTGCATTTGGTTTGCAGATTGAAGCAGCATCAAAATATTCCACTGTTGACACACTGAAGCAGCAGTATCGTTTCATACCTGCTAAGTACAAGGTTTCTTCTCCTCTTAGCATCAAATTTATTTCAAGATGTCTGCTGTTATATGGATAATTATGCTCATAAACTATCACAGCTGGTGATTCATGATTGGTTTTATGACCAATTCAACTAAATTGGACCTTAGTTTCAAAATAGTTGGGATCAGCAGTGGGAATCATTTTTTCCATTCCATTTGATCAAGGGTTATGTCACAGTCATAATTTGATACTGATACAAGATTTAACTTAATAAGAATTAAGGAGAACCTTTAGGTGAAATACTGAACTTAAATGGGATCTTTTAATCATAGTTCACTAAAAGTCATTGAGTATGGTAAGGTAGATGATTTTAGAAAAGATGTATTTGTCATAAGATGGTTTCTTAACATTCTTTATGTGCTTTTTGTTACTAGGTAAGATAAACATGTGATTCATATTGAGTTTCTAATTAAATGTCCAGCAAAAAGTGACATTGGCAGATTCAAAATGATTTTTGTTCTCTCTTTTTTTTCCCAAAAGAAAATATTGCGAGTGAAAGGACATTTATTCATAGTTTTATTCTTAGAATTTCTAGGCCATTTGTTGGCGCCGCCTTGTTTATGCTTATGAACATCTTATCTTCTTTCAGGATTGCTATCTGGTATATATTTTGACAGAGATGTCCGGGTGTACATCTATGGTTTTCACACGAACATGCGACGCAACTCGCCTTTTGGCTTTGATTCTTCGAAATCTTAATATTAGAGCCATTCCCATTAGTGGCCAAATGACTCAGGTATGCTACACAAATGTTGATTTTCTATGCAGATCTGAAGCCTATTCTCTTCCTTCCCACCATCCTTTTTATGCTACCTCAAATTATATCTGCCCTTCGTTAATGGAACATAATTGACAGTCAAAGAGACTTGGAGCCTTAAATAAGTTCAAGTCTGGGGAATGTAACGTTCTTGTCTGCACTGATGTGGCAAGTAGAGGACTTGATATTCCATCTGTGGATATGGTCATTAATTATGATATCCCTACAAACTCCAAGGTAATGCATTAGGTTTGCTCCCTCATTTTTTCTTATTAGACCTTATTTTAAATTTTGTGGGCCATTTCATGCATTGCCACTGTGCATTTAGCCCCAACATATGGATGGACCTTCAATGTAATATGTCCATTTAAGTATGCAAATATTTTTGATTCTTTGGCTTAATCTGCCATCTCTAGTGCACTGACTCCAAATGGGTAACAGGATTATATCCATCGAGTAGGAAGAACTGCTCGTGCAGGGCGATCAGGTGTTGCAATATCACTGGTAAATCAGTATGAGCTGGAGTGGTATATACAGATAGAGAAGCTCATTGGTATGTCATTCATGCTATATTTGCTTCAGGGTTGCACAGAAGTATTTTGCAAGATGCTTACATATCTCATTATATTCCAGGGAAAAAGTTACCCGAGTATCCTGCACAAGAAGAGGAAGTGCTGCTGTTACTTGAAAGTGTTACGGAAGCCAAAAGATTATCACAGATGGTATTTCCTAATTTGAGTAAACTTGAGCTTATTTAATTTGATTTTTATATTTTACGAAAATTGAGACTGACAACCATGAAACATATGCAGAGAATGAAGGAAAGTGGAGGCAGGAAGAGGAGAAAGGGTGGAGATGATGATGAGGAAGATGTGGAGAGATATTTAGGTGTCAAGGATAAGAAGTTCACAAAGAAGATAAAGAAAAAATGACGTTAATTGTTGTCACTGCAAATTTTGCTTTACATATTTTTGTAATATCTAATTTATTATTGCCCGTGGAATGCTGGTATAGAGTCAGCTAGGATCAACATTACCTTATACATTTTGTTATACACTAATAATTTTTTTTTACGTATATTTTTAAAATTGTCGATTTTTGTTACTTGTATCATTAAATATTTATTATTTTCATCGATATATAATGAAGTGCGTAATTTTACGAGATGTATCAATCATCTTCTTAGAGAAACAGAATTAAAAATGGAAGTCTACAGTGAATTTGAAGGAGAACAAAAAGAAAGCAGTAACCAAAAATATCGGTGGTGGTGTTTGCATTTGGTTTTTAGTGTTTATTGTTATACTTAGGTGTAAAATAATCCGAGTAATTTAAAAAAATGTGACAATAATTTTACCCAAAATCAATACTAAATATATATTTTTTAACAGTATATAATTATAAAAACACTTAATAAAACTCACTTTGCTGTTTATTTATTAATATTAAGTTTTATTACAAAATGCTCTCTATTCACTTTTCATGTCATAATCGCCCGCATCAGAAAAACGGGTATTGTGAGGTCTTGCGAGCACAAGAAGTATGACCCGATCCGCGATTGTATAGGAATCTTACCGGTGTACGGACTAAGGAGCGATTATTGCGCTCATTTCTTTCCTTCCAAGGAATGAAAGAAACGCAAATACCGAAAAACAATTTTGGGAAATGTTCCGTGCCCTAACTCCTCAGCCGCCCTTAAAATTTGCCTAGCCAATTGGCCGTTCCGATCCCTGTACTGCGCTCGGCCTTCCTTCACTACGGCGGAGACTCTCAGTAGCGCCATCTAGCCAAGCTTCCACAGCTTCCCGCATTCCTCAGTGCTTCTGGAAAGAAGCGGGGATCTGCTTTCTCATATGGAGAAAGAGTTTCGATGGATGACTTACGAGGCAACGGGATATGATTGAGCTAAGCAAGAACCCCAAAAATTTGTTCTTATGGTCGAAGGTTTGTATTGGAATGCCTTTTTCATGGGCTGCACAAACCCAGAATGTTTATAATAAGTTTACTCAATCACTATCTTTAGAAAATCTGACATTAATCTCATTTACACTCTGTTTCTCTCTCACCTTCCTATTTGTATATGCTAGAAATGAAAAACAAGCAAGTGTTGGTGACTTGAAGGAGTTTGAATTTTGGTGTCATCGGTGATATTGAAGCTATCATACAGAGGAATGTCGAAATCAACTCTCACGAGCACCTTCCTCCCATTCAATTCAAACTCCTTCAAGTCACCAACACTTGCTTGTTTTTCATTTCTAGCATGTACAAATAGGAAGGTGAGAAAGAAACAGAGTGTAAATGACATTAATGTCAGATTTTCTAAAGAGAGTGATGGAGATTTCTGTTGCCAACCAGATCCAGATGTTTGTAATAGAGATATTATTCCTAAGACCCAACAAACCTCCTGAGCGTAGTTGACTCAATTTTTTTTTAAAGAGCAGAAACTTTCGGTGAAGGGGTTGGCGTTCGCCGGAGGAATTTCATGGCGGCCGACGACTATTGCCGATTTAGGCTTAATTTGATAATACTAGTACATAACTACAGTTTGTATGTTTTTGTATCTTTTAATACTTTAAAAATATATAAAATTTATTTTATATATTTAATATTTATTTTAATTAATATTTTATATATTTTTAAAATAATAAAAACCTATAAAAATTAAAAGACAAAATAATGATAGTGTTGTTAAACCAAGGGCATGTTTGGTATAACAGTTAAAATTCAACGGATAGCGGATAGCAGATAGCGGATAGTAGATAACAGTAGCGGATAGCGGGTGGTGGTTAGTGGATAGCGGATAACGGATGGCGGATAGCGAAAAGTGAGTAACGGATAATAAATAACGGATTCGATAAATATAACTGTTTGGCTATACAATGGTTAGCGATTGTTATTTAACATTAAATGACTAATAAGGACATGTTTAAAAACAAATAAG